AAAACTAGAACAGACATAATGAGAATGTTAACACACTGCGAAGAATGTAACCAATATCACTGAACATTGTAAGTAGAAATTGTTGAATGAGAGCGTTTTTTGTATATGTATTGTCACCAAAAGTACAATAAGTTTTTTTTTTAATCTCAATATTTGGCATAAAATAAAAATCTCTAAGTATGCAGGGAAGCACTAATATACAACCCATATAAGGAGAAAACTCATTCAGAGATGAAAAATTAGTAGACGAGAACAATAAAAACAGTAAATAACTGCATTCAATATATTCAAGGGTTTTGAAGAAAGAGTCAGTACTTTTAATAGAGATGTCGGAGATGGTTTTTTAAGACACAAATCAAACTACTAAAGATGAAAAAACAATGTCAGAGATGAAAAATACACTTGATGGAATAAACAGCAGATCAAAAGGTGCAGAAGAAAAGATAAGTGAACTTGAACACCTACCAACAGAAACTATCCAAAATGAAACACCCAGAGAAATATGATGCAAAAAATGAGCAGTGCATCAGTGAACTGTGGGACACCTTCAAGTGGCATATGTACTTATAACTGGTCTCCTCAAAAGGTGGGATGGACAGAAAAAAATTGAACAAATAAGGGTATCAAAATTTCCCAGTTAGATGAACACCATAAACCCAAAGGTCCAGGAAGTTCAACAAAACACAAGCACAAGATAAATGAAAAAATCTACACCAAAACACATCATAATCAAACTAGGATAAACCAGAGATAAAGGGAAATCTTAAACACTACCAGAGAAACACATTACATACAGACAAGCAAAGGTAAGATTGATAGTACATTTCTCATCAAAAGCAATGAAAACCAGAAGATATTGGAGCAACAACCTTAAATAACTGAAAGAATAAAAATAACCAACGATCCTATACCCACCAAAAATACCTTTCCAAAATAAAGAAAAAATAAAACCTTTGTTCAGGCATACAAAAAATTAATGGATTTATAATCAGCACACTTGCTCTACCAGAGAGGTCAAAGGA